ATGCTTGAAAATTCATCTTCCAATCCTGCAGTGGTCGCCGGCCTAGCTTTGGAAGAAGAAGCTTCCGGGTCCTCGGAGACGGGCTCATCGGGGAAAGCCTTGCGAGCCTTCTCTCGCTCATCCTTGATAATGGCAAGTCTCCTTTGCTTTGTTGACATTGTTTTCCAAAGAAAAGGTGGAATACTGTCGGGTTTGCTCGATCCTGAATACCTTCGGGCTTTCACACCCCCCGCATCGTAATGAGCACCTCCATCTTTGGGAACAAAGGTGTCCTTGCTGGTCTTCAAATCGATGACTTTGACCATTTCTTCCGACGCGGGTCCCTTTTCGGGGGAATCTTTGATCAGCTTTCCGAGGTTTTCAGCGAGTTCCTGATCATCGATGTCATCCTGGCCTGGCATCTCTGCCGGCAAATCCTCCTCCAAGAGCGGCGCATCCAATGCAGCTGGATCGGGCGTTTCAGGAGCGTATTCAAGCCCCGGCATTACGCCATTCATGTGCAATAAGTGCCGTTCGACCATTGGAAAAGAGAATTCACCATCCGGACATTTGATCTGATTTACTCTCAAAGGAGCAATAGGTTGATCATAGTCCTTCTCCATCAAATCTCGCAAAGGAACAACGAGAAATTCGTGACGCCAAAGAAAGTCAGGATGGATGGGATACCCCAGAAATATTCCAGCCCTGGAAGTAGGTTCAAACTTCAAAGGCTTGTTGGGTCGATTCCTCGGGCCAGTCCAAAAGTTGACTTGACAACCAAAGGGCAAATATGGTCCGGGAAAATCTTCTCCAAAACGTACCTTCCATGGTGAATGATAATCTGGGTGGTCCGTGATGTTATGCGCCATGCAATAGTGTTTGGCCGCATGTGGCCAATACGAATGATGTAAACCAGCTTGCTCAAGGTTGGTCCTCGTGCCCTCGATAATCGCCCTGACGTTCCTCTCGGCAATGGCATTCGTCTTGGAAATGTAGTTTGTACTTTGAACATGCTTCCATTCCAATTGGTCCGCGGCTTTCACAAGTTCAGGAGCCCGATCACTGTAAAACACGTTCACGGTTTCCCCGGTGCGGACAAAGTGCTTGAATGCCATCACACACTGATGAGAGGTTTTCCGTGCTGCTGGGTAAACATAACGGAAATCAGTGGCAACATCTCGAACCACAAGTGCAACTCTAGATTGATCAATGCCGATTTCACGATCATCTGATGTGATAAGATGGTCCGCCGTAAGGTGATCACCAAACTTCTTGGCCTCGACTTGAGTGGAACCTCCCTTTTGTTTTGATGGATATTTGTACATCTTCGCCCTGTTACAAGTCTCGCAAAAGGGGTTCTTGGGAGTGTGACACATCAAGTGCTGGAGTGAGGTCGCCTCATCACGCAAAGCTGCTTCACCGCGTTCGCGAGGGGCGTCCTTCAAAATAGGCTTAGACACAAAATCGGAAGCGATGACCTTAGGCGCATCTTCGGAGGGAATGTCATGGCACTCTTCAATGACCTCACCTTCCGGTTGGCTAATGGTGTCCTCAAGCAAGAAATCATCGTTCCCCAATTCATCCCCATCATCCTCATTGGTCACAAGCACCTCTTCAACAGCTTCTGGTTCCTCGTCAATGCTAGAACTTCATCCTCAATTTCAATGGGAGCTGATGGTAATGATGTAACCTTTGGAATGCTCGGTGACAAAGCCGGAACAGCATTTTGAGTTGCTGGGGGAATGAATGGAAAATTGTCTTTGACCTCGAGCTTGATACGTGAACCATCCGGAAGTCGGAAATAAGGTCTGCTGTGGGCTCTCCAAGCGAAATCATATCCGTCCCTGAGGCATCTCATACCCACGGATAACACGGATGGAGCCTTGTCAAGAACATATGGCCGAACAACAATATCGGTCTGTTGGATCTTGACCCTGGCCTGCTTGGTACCGATAATATTCCCATTGGCTGTGGAAAATTTCAGAGGTTGAGACGATTCGTAAATACACCCCACCTCCGCATCGGTTCCCGACAGCAAATCCTGGGAAGCTCCTGTATCCGCGATCCACGGAATGTGAGAAGAATCCATTGTCATACGAGCAACAGCAGCTTTCCCCTTTTTGGGGGAGGTCTCGGGCTTCTCTGGCTCGGCCGTTAGGCCTGCGGGGATGCAGGAATCACAGCCGAAATCAGAGTCGCATTGAAATTTGCAAGGAGTCTTCGTGCCTTTGAGCAAATCCTTCATCATAGCTTCATGCATGGTGCCGATAAGAGTTGCGTCAGAAACAGCTCTCTCATCGAACTTCGGAACATAATCAACAGGAAACTCGTGTGCAAACCTTCTCGACGAGGCAGTGTAGGGCCAAAGCTCGCCGTCAGTCTCATAGTTCGAAATAGATGGGTAATCAGAGAATTGCACGCACTTCTTGATACATGGCATACTCTGGAAAACATCGTGAGTCACACTAGGCAAGCAAGGATGCGAGGCGACCGAGTCGAGGGTCGCGGCGCACACCATCGCCTGGAGGAGGCACACCGCAGCACTGCTGCCTTTTGACGATCGCGGAGCCTTGGGGGACTGAGAACCCTTTGAATCTTTCGAATCCTGAGAAGAAGGCCTGCTACCCTTCTTCTTCTTCTTTTTCTCTCTCGGCGATGTCTTGGGGGTGTCTCCACTAGCGGTCTTCTCGGTCTTTGGGGCTGGAGCTGCCTTGGAAGTTGCGGGGTGCTGCCATGGGCAATCTTTCCCTCTCTCGCATCTGTTCGCTTTAAAGAACTTGCACACCTGGGGCTTCGAACCAGGGGGACTCTGCGAACGATACTTCCTTGGCGTCTGGGATCTAGATCCGCCCTTCTTGCCTTTCCCCTTACCTTTCGGTGCCTTAACATGTTCGAATCGGCAGTCTGAACCACAGGTGCGCTGGCCAGTACACCCTTGGGGATTCCAGGAACTGCAGGGTTGTTCGATGGAGCCCTGCCACGTCCCGTTGTGTTGCTTGACATAGCATCCCGCATGTGAACAAGCCTCTTGCGCTCCAAACAATTCCTCGATGCGTCAATCAAGAATTTATAGGAGTGCTTTTCCGTCCCTTCCTCAGCCCGCTCATACTCATTGAGATCATGACTGAGAGGCCGAAACTTTCGAATCTGGCGGTGGAACAGCGCTTCAAGGGTCTTCTCATTTTCCCATTCCAGCGATGACCGTGTCCCATCTTGTCATGAAGTTCTTGAGGTCCTCGTTGATGAGCTGGACAGAGAGCAAGTCCTCAAAGTCGTAAATTGCACCATGTTTGATGTTCGTGCTGAAGTGCTTGTGAACCATCAAAAGAATTTGGCGCCCCCTCGCGTAGCGTTTCTCCTTTGCTTCTTGTTCTTTGAAAATGTCGACTTGCCGCGCGAGGTCGCCCTCCAAGATATTCGTCAACGCCGATGCCAGCTTTGCATCAAGATGGACAAACATTCCTGAATCACGAAGGACTTCAACAGTTTGACCTGGGATCCAAGTTGCCTCAATCCACTCAAATGCCTTTTCGGGTTGGTCGGAAGTAGCAACAACAGCATCCCTAACTTTGATCCTCCAATTACGGTACTGTTCGGGCTTCGGGAATCGGGGAATCTGAATTCTGTCACCCTCCTTTACACGAACGCGTTCCGCTGTCGGATCGCTCGAATTACCTAAGTGCTTCAGTAGCTTTCGTCGAAAGGATTCATCCGATGCAGTCGAAGTTGATGACGAAGATGACGAGGGAGAAGATGACGGATCTCGTCGCCGGCGTCGGCTACGGTCCTTCTTCTTTTTCTTCTTCTTCTTCTTTTTCTTGTCCTTGTCATTTCCACCATCACCATCATCGCAAGGCCAACCGTCTCCGGTAGCAGCATCGTCCACGGCCCCGGCGGGAACGGATCCGTCTTTGCCGTAGGGGTCGCTCCCGACCTTCGTCCAACTGTGCGAGGAAGCATTCGAAAGTCCGGGTGGAGATGCAGCCAAAGGAACGGTCGGGATAGCCAAGGGGGTAGCTGGTGCCTGCTGAACGGGAGGCGCAGGGGCTGGAGCAGGTTGAGCAGGCGGTTGCTGCTGATTTTGCATCATCTGCTCGACCATAGCCCTTAGCTCCCTGATCTGCTTCTCCTGCTCGCTGATCGTGTTCATGGCGTTTTGGTACTTCATCTCGGCTTCTCTTTCCGATTTCATGGTGTTCACACGCTGCTCCGCATTCATTTGAATCTCGCGTCTCATGGCCTCCGATTGGCTTTGAAGTCCGGCAATAATCTCACCATGCCTTGCCTCCGCCATCTGGGCGACCATGGGACCGGTGTCCTGATTCACGAACTGGTTGAATTGGGCATTGTTCTGGGTAGCGTTGATCTGCTGATAGTTCGTCACGTCCTGGTTGATCGTCATTGAAGGATCGAGGTGGACGTTTGCAACATGTTGGTTGAACTGATTCATGGACTGTGGCATAGGGTTTCCCCTTGCGAGATCGGTCTGGGGGTCGTACATGACGATGTCACCATGCCGATGCCGATCTGATCCAACAGGTGAAGGAGATCGAGCACCAGACCGCCCAGTCCTCCCCCCTGGCCACTTGGGAGTTTGCTCGACTAGTCGGTTCATATTGCGAGGCGTCTTCATCGCCTGTGGGCTCATCAGGTGTGGGACGCACCTCGGTATGGGGTAGTCCAGGGTCGCCATCCATGGCGTACAACTCTGTACAAAGAGCCGCTTACGGCTGATAACCTATAGAACAGGTTAAACAACCGGGAAGGGTCACAAATGAACCCTGTACTCAGCGCGCTTTTTCCTTGAGCCATACGCAGTCGTAATGATGAGACTGCGCAAGTGAGACATTCATGCATTGGGGTTTTACATGGTTGATAAATACATCACGTTACAAACTACACTTAGTTCGGATTGGTGATTTGGTGGTTCAGGGGTGTTGTTTTCCCCACTAACCCTCCACCAGAACCAGCCTAGGGCTTCAAAATGCATCACCAAAACCCCAGGATGCAATCCCAGAGGCATTTGCTCCTCACTCACGGTGTCCAGCTGGAACCGTTTGGAGGACCGCGTGGACCCGGAGAGGTAGGTGCAGAGCTTGACCACCTGAAAAAGGAACCCGGCCGTGGTGTGGCGAACAACCAATCAGCCAGTCAATTAAATAAACCAACACATGAGCAAAACCAGCAAAACTAAAACACTAAGACTTGGCAACACTAAATTAAGTACTGGGTATCTAAGATTAAGTCTTGGCAATACAATTCTGGACACGCCCTTGTACAAATACACAAATATGTTGCGTACATGTACATATTTGTATATGATACTATGGCATTGGTCTTACGTTGTTTGCGTGTATTGCTCTATTGACACTTGCAAAACACACATGCACGTTGAGCCCGAAATACGGGGTCTGGATTAACTAAAATCATAACATCCAATCCACCAGCTTCCTTTAGGGAACATGCGCTATGTAGCGCCCAGCACATATCTACACCTGACATGCTCAGATGAGTTGGAGCAGAGGTTTAAACTTTTCGGCCCTAGGCTCAAACAATGAAGAAACGTGGCTTTTGGAAACTGAAAGGTGAACATCAAAAGATACATTCGAAATTGGCACAGGATGGGTGTCCCCTTTCTAGGCAACCCTAAAGAGTAACCCCCACGCGCCCGTTAGAAAACACCCCCCGCTGCGTCCCGGCGGCGCTGTTGAGCTGCAGCTGCTCCCCGTGGCTGAAGGCGAAGGCCACCAACTCTTGCGCGCTCACCCAGCCTGCGGCGATCGGATCCCGATCGCAAAACGGAAGGAACCCAACGGGGGTGGGGGTCTGATGGATCCCCGCAAAAGGTGTGGCCCATCCGGAAGAAAAAAAAAAAAAGAGAAAGCGTGTTGTTTTTGGCAAGCCATGATGGTCGGTAGGGGAATGGATCCACATAACCAGCCCGTTTTGGGTAGAAAGAGGATTGGAACCCCTTTGGGCTTGGGGAGGAGTTTAGTGGTTGGACATGTCAGGTCTGTTTTGAGGGTCTACCCCTTTTTTTGCAACAAAGCGGAAGAAAAGGAAAACCACAAATGGTTTATGGCATTTTGCGACAAATCCATTTGTGGTTCCACTGTGAGGGCTTTGTGAATTGAACTGAAATCTCACATTTTGTGATAGATACGTTCAGGGCCTAGATAACCATAGGGCCGAGAACCAATCATTGGGATGGGCTTGTACTTCCCGGACCCAAATCTGTGAGTTCATTCGACGAGCCTCCTTTTTTTTCCGGTGAAGCCTTTTGGAGTTTCATGGTTTGAATCTGCAGGATCTGTCTCATGTTGGGGTGCTAATTTCTTGCGTTGAGCTGGTTCCAACTGTTCAAACTCGTTTTAGGGGACCCCGCAAAATGGCGTCTGCTGTCCCTTTCAAGCCGCCAAAAACCGGCATCCTCAAAAGCATTAGCCATACGGGGCTTCGGGCGGGCCCCCCGTTCCGCGGCACGAGTTCCATTGGTCGAGGTGCCGTTGGAGGACACGTCGCAGCGCCGGAACTGCTCTCGCAACTCCACAATTTCCGGGTCCTCCTGTGGGCACAAAAATGGGCATGTCACCGGTATGTCTCAAGAACCCCCCAAATGGTTCGCTGCCTTTGGGCGTGCCTTTAAAGCCACAAAAAGGGTTCCCTCAAAAAACAAAGAGGCACACCCTCAATGGGTCTGCCTTTCTGAAGGGCCCAAGTAGGATGCGCAAATCCTTCGTATTGTGCCAAACAAGCTAAAACATGCCGTGCTTTTTGCAACGGTTGGTTGGCGTTGCAAGGGAAAACCTCCATTGTGGGGTCTAAATCCCTATTCCTAAGTCGATCAAAAGCTTGTGCCACCCCGGAACCATTCCCTTTCTTGTTTTCGACTTCGATTTTTCATTGTGTTTTGTTTGGGGAACCCCTTTTTGGTTGCTTTTAACGGGAAACCAAAAGCAAACCAACCATTTTGGGGAACCCCTATTTGCAAACACACCCATCTGAGGAAAGCCCCAAACCCTGTGCCAAAGGCTGAAATCAGAATGGGATCGGTGCGGACCTACATCAGTACATCATGGTTAGCTCGTTTTACCCCCAGATCGATCCGCGAATATGATCAGTCCCAGCGCACCAAAGGGTGATTCTGAAGCATTTGCCACATCCTCAATTAAACCCCAGCCGCACCATTCCCCATGTCAAACCGTAAAGGACCGGAGAAGCTGCACAATCAGCCCCACGGCAGTGCTTCTTCTGCTTGGGGTCTACGAATCTTTGGGGCAAGGGGTTCGAGGTCTAGTGCTGATCACTTAACTCCCAAACCACTTGACCTTTGCAAGGGACCAGGGGTTACAAGGGGCGCAGCGCAGGCAGTGCAGGGGTGACAAGCGGGTTGCAAGGGCCAACAGTCCTGCAGAGGAAACTTTCGGAACTGAGTGAGGCAAGATGAGAAAAGCATCAACTGAGTACCCTTCCTCCCACAAACATAGCACCTGCGGGAGCGTAGGTAAAAGATCAATTTCCTCTTCATAGTTTCTTCTCAAACCAGTTGAAGCTGCAGTGTCTTGGGTAGGGGTGGTTTTCCCAATTACCCTTGACAGGGGTTCAAATCCCCAAACCACCAATCAAGAGTTGCCCGACACATTAACATAAGCCCGGAAAACGTGGAATCCCCAAACTAAATTTGACAGGGGTGAAATCGCTCGTTTTAGCCCATGATCGGTGAACTCCTTACCAATTCTCCAGATACTGATGGAAACTCGCCGCAAAGCACGGGCTAACTTAAAATCAGGTTACAACGTGCAAGTTGCAAAACAAAGGCAGTCAATTGCAAAGAGAGTCGCTATTTCATGTTTTAAACATTGAACAACGCCAAAACCCCAAACATTTCAAACAACCTCTTGTGCCAACTGAGCTCTCCGTCACTTCCGGTTTCGGCAAACCCCGGGGGCCTCAACCGGCGCTTGCCTCGGATTGCGTGTGCCTCTGTGTTTGATTCGCGTTTTAGTGGACCTCCCAAGTACCGGTTCCACTTTTGGTTGTCCGTTAAAACCACAAAGAAAAGTCACCTTCAAAAGAAGCCAAACACCGATATCTAAAAGGCAACGCATGGCAACGCCAAAGGGCCGCTTCGCCCAATCTGGTACCCTGGCTCATGACGGGAAGGTCAGAAAGCGAAAACCCAGTTCAGTGTCCACGACAGAAGGAGGGAACCCTTTGTGAAGCCAAACAAATGGGAAAGAAGGTGGAATCCGCAGGACTGGCCAAAGGAAGCCCACATCTTGAGCCGTGAGACAAACTCATGGGGTCTGCTAGAAACCCTGTAGAAAACGTGGATCTCCTGAAGCCATGGTGACATGACCGCTGACCATGGTTGAAGGAGAGTGGCAAAGGCCACCGCAGGTGGATGGCATCCTTGCAACCAACCGATTTACCGCCCCTTGTGCCTCGGTGTATGTTCCATAGTATGGTTTGCACAGGATGCCTTCCCGGAATCCCCTGGCCGGCGTGGTTTTCATGGTAAACCAAAGCAGAAAAGTGGCATTACAACTACTTTAGCTGTCACTGACCAGGAAACCTTTACCAGCAACAAACCAAGACCCAACGGTTGGACAAATGCAAAACTACCAAAGCAAACTGACCTGCTCAGCTGACTGATCAGAAACGTGCACAATTGCCATGAACCAAACAACTGATCAACGAACTTAAATAATTGACCAAAACAACTTGTAACCAAAACAGACAACTGGTCAGAAAATGCAACATCGCAAAGCAACACTTCGAAGAGGGCGCCTGCGCAAGTGATGGCTGCAAAGGCCCACCCTTTTGCGTTTGCTTCTTTTGGTGGAGAACTCTGCTCCGAGCATCAATCAGGACGGGCTTGGGGAAGGTAGAATTATCTTGCCCACTCAAGTGAGTGCTCATTTGCCTGGGGCTTGACCAGACTTTAAAGTTTGCACTTTATCCCGTGGGTGAATGGATATGTTCCCATCGTTGCCAGGAGATTGCCCCGGATTCAAAACCAACCCAGTACTGAACCAAACTACTCCATGTCACTGCAGTGAGCGCCTCATGTGGGTGTTGATGTGGGTAACTTTTCCCATGCGGGAAAGTCACCTTTTTCAAAGTTTTCCCCTCATCCCTGTGTAGGGCCTTTTGATCACCACGTGCCAAGCTGCCCTACTTCCTTCTCATCCTCCCCGCTGGGCTCACTGTTCTGCTTGCCTTAGGCATGTACACAATGATGGACAACAGGAAACCACACATGGGTACGTCCTGATTGGGGCCCCCATTTGGGTGGTCCTGAAGAGAATCCAAATAGAAACCACGCATTCAGACCAGGATCCGCAAAGGTCGACTGCAGCCTACCCCTCCCACCGACTGAAGGTGTCCTGGAAGGCAATTTTCTCCCAAGGGACCCTCTTGGGTGCCATCTGGGCTTGTCTTAACATAAAGGAACCCGGGAATGGTTGGTGTTCTGTGCATTTCCTGTTAGCCGACCTGAAAATGGTGCCCCCCCAAAAAGACACCCCCATGTAAAGGGTTGTGCTTACTATGATAACTTCGTCACATGCGCCTTCTAACCTCAACCTCCCCAGCCCCTATCACATTTGAATCAGTTGTTCCAACTCTAAAAACTCATAGCAATGTGTCCAACCTCATTCACGGAACCCTCACATTGAATGGGCAGAACAGCTGATGTTTACACCCACCACAGAAGTCCTGAAGGCTGGACACATGGTCCTGTCGCCTTGACCCCCCCCCCCCCCTCGCAAAATGGACTCCCGCCCCGTGCCATGGACTCTAGCTATGTTACCAAGCCCGTTTTAATGTGAAAGCCCATGTACACCAAGTGAAGGCGGTTGCAACACCGAAGTGTCCGCTCCCAGGTTGTTCAAGCGCCAAAAACCACTGCCACGGGGCCGGCCCCAGCCGCTGAGTAGCGCTCCGCGAGGTTGTCAAGGTCCCCAGCGACCTCCAAAGTCTTGTCAACGGAGGTTAGGGATCCCTGCGTCACCTGCACAAGAGGCTGCCCAAGATTTTCCCTGTGGGTTTTGAAACATCACCTTGTCTGGCCATTTTGCTTGCTTCTCTGTTGGTGAGGTGATGCTGAAGGGGGGAAATAGGAAGTTCTGGATGGCCCTGGATGAACCAAGGGTTCGTCGTCTCCAATGTGGGCCAGAGGGGAGCCATCTCCTTCATAGCCCCTGGTCACTATTTGTCACTAGTCAGGTGTAATCTGCTCCCTGTATGGCTCTGAATCCCGACCCCCCAATTCCATTCAGGGTGGGCATAGCTGTCCTTGGGAAGGGCTAATGCCCCTCCTTGCTCGTTGATCGCGCCCAGTGCTCAAGGCAGCCAAGGTCAAGGCGTTTGAACAGCAAAAAGGAGATCGACATGGAATCCAAAACGCCATCCTTTGTAGACGGACCTCCTTTTTGGGGAGCCCTTTTTATGGTTTTTGAATTTGCAGTGAGGTACCCGAGGGATTCAAAAATATATGTCGCACATGTTCGCCTCCTTGGGAACGGCCACGCTTAACTTGGAGTTGATCTGATCCTGCAGGCTCACGATCTTCCCCGTGACCTCACGCGGCTGGGTGGGCCCATGATTCTCTGGGCAGAATTCAACCCATTGGGAGCGACTGCACGCCGCAACGTCAATTTCAATTCGAGGGCAGTTGGGATGGGGTATTGGGGGGAATGGAGGCTAGAAGAATCCCTCATGCTTCCCACTGACGTAGCCCTTGCTCAAGCAGAAGCACATATTGGCCGACTGGTGAGGGTCGGATTCGCAGTGTCCAAGGTTCGTCCGCTGTGTGATTGGTGCAAAGACTAGTGAACCCATGTTGGCCAACGTGGCCGGACTCAACACCTGCTCTTACAATGGGCTCGCAGGCCCGGGGAACTCAAAGGAAGCCAACTCTGTCCGCTCCTGTCGATGTGGGCATGCGGCAAGCAGTGGGAGTTGCAAATCATTTTCCCAAAAGGTCACAGATCCAACCTAGCATTCAAGAACAAAGGGGCCGTCAGACCTTCAGGCCGAAGGCACTTGTTCTATGACCTGCTGAAGGCTCTGGAGCTGTCCCGACATGGTCGTCAAAAACTCGGCGGCCATGGGATTGTCCTGCCGGGGTACAAGCTCGCGGTTTCTCTCCAAATCGGTGGCTTTTTGGCTTTCCTCTAAACCAACCTCAAAACGGGTACCCCTCCCCGCCCCCAAACAAACAAACAAACAGAAAAAGGGGGAACATGCCCCTCGCTCAAACCGCAGTAGACTGCTCTTGACGCGCGGGAAAAGGGCCCCAAGCCGGCGCCCACTGGGTCCAAAGCGACCAAAGAGATCACTGCCAACCTCCATTTGGTGAGAAGACCGCTGGAAAACAAACATGAGAACATCTGTCCAATAGTGAAATCGATTCCCTTTAAAAGGGGGAAAAATATACCCCCGAAGTAATCTTGAGAACTCCTCAATTTCTTCACTTCAATGGACCCTCTACTCCAGAAAAAGAAAGGAGCAGAGCGTGCTATGGTTGCATTTGCTCTCGGCGGGGCCCATTCACCGGGGAAATTCCAAGCACTACGGGGGACGTGAGCACTGAGCTTCCCAGTTCTTCGGCCTTGCCTGGCCTCAAGGAGCCTGAAACAAAGATCCTTTTGGAATAGTTTCCACTGGCAAACCAGAAGCTTAGGTTCGGTTTGAAGTGAGATTGACCGGAAATGGTCGGGAGTCAAGGAAAGCTGGTGCAGAGCCGGCGGCTTGCCGGCCTGCCTTTGCTGGCCAAGAGCCCTGACAGGTAAAACACGGCATCATCCAAAAATATGATGCCGACCGGTAATTCATAACCCCCCCCCACTTCAGGGAGGTCCCTGTTTAGTGGGGATTGCTTTTTGCGGGGGCAACTGGGGGTCTATTAATCAGGGTTCGACCTTTTAGGTTTGCGTGTCAAGTAGGCAAGCCTTTTAGTAGGAATTCATTCGTTTCAGGTTTAGGTGCCTCCAATTGCTGAGTGGGCAGCCAGGGCGCTTGTGGGATTCATTGGATTTGTGTCTTTGCCAATTCAAGGATGCTCACTCAAGTGGAACACCCTCGACTCAATCAGCCGGCCAACATGAGGGCTAGACGGGTGAATGCCCAGCTGCCGCTGCCTCTGTCGGCCGCGTTTGCGGCCAGCGAGCAAAGCAAAAGGCCCTCGAAACCAACAATTCATTGTCCACTCCCCCCCCCTTTGGTTCCAAAAGCCTCCTTGGCCTTGCGCTTGAGTTTGGTCGTAACTCTTTGCAGCCCCCAGAATCATCATTTGGAGCACTGTAACGACCTGAAACGTCAAGGCGTCCTTTGATTCAGGGGTAATCTTCTGTTTGGGAAAGAATCGCCCTTGTGGCTTGTGCACGCAGAGCTGCCTACTCCTCACCAGAAAAATGCGACCAACAGCCAACCCACCCAACCCCCAGCTCAAACTGGATGAAACTCCTCCACCAGCTGCTGCACGATGATGGGCTTGTGCTCGGCACCCACTTTGGTCGCCATCATGTCAGCACAGCACAAGCTCATGACGAACGGCTCGACAGTTTCCCGCCCGCTGGAATCAGAGGACGGGTCACAGGCTTCTTCCCTTGAGCCCGCTGCGAGCGGAAAACTCGCCCGCGGTGTTCTTTTCGGGAATCCAAAGCGAGTCTCTGGGGAAATGAAAGGGTCAGCTTTCCCTAAAATCATCTTCGTCCGGGGCCGCAAATGCCACACCTTGAACACCATCACACCCTGGTGTCAAAACTCGGCGCTGAAACCCGGGAAACCAACCTATTCAAGAGTCCAAATGGGTTTCCCTAAAACTGGAGAACCCCCCTTTCACATGCCCTACAATCCTACATAGGCAGTTCTTGCATGGCGTCCTGGGCAGGCAAAAGGACCACTTAGCTTTCAACTGTTCAACCTTAGGGCACCCTCCTAGAAGTTGGAAGAACAAATGGAACACGATGCAGCGGTCCCCAGGAGAATCCTCAAAGACTCAACTGAAACTCATGGGCCAAAGAAGAAGGAGCAACCCTCGACGGGGACTGAAAGCAGGGCTTGGTGGCGCATAATCCTCTGCTTTTTGCCCCCTCCCCTTTGGAAGAAAAGCCCGCATGTTCCGGTCCTTAACTCATCGATCTGCAATCTTCGCCACTCCGAAACCAGAAATAAGGCAGCGACCTACATGGCGTTCGCTCGTTTTACCCCCCCCCCCAGCTCGCCACAAAACTGGCAGATCGATGCTTTCTCCTCAGCAGCGAATCACGTCCTGCGCCAGCTCTGTCGTTTTCGTGAAGTGACGCCCCTCCTCAGCCGCTTCCGAAAAGGCCTAGAACCCATTTGTGCATTGTTCAACTGAACACTACTCCTCCCCCATACGCAAAAAAAAAACAATCTGGAGAAAAGGTGAGGGCCCAAACTACACACCGCGTCCAACCCAAATCTGCGGGGTGGCCCTGGCCATGCCTCGTGCTCGTGAGCGTCTTCCATGCTAAGGTTGTCTTTGAAATAGACAAGCGCTGGTGAAATCGCTTCGGTTTCCCCTCGGGGCTGCTGTGGTCTAGCTTTCCTTTCAAACCCTCCCACTAGAGGGAACAAGAACCTCCGGCTTATTTCAATCCAGGGTCCTTGTTGCCAAAGGCCTTCGCGCCCAGAACCCAACAAATGTTCAAAACCATTCATAGTTGTGGAAAGGAACCCTCTACTTCATTACTTGACATGGGTCCCACCAAAGCCCAGCCGCTGGATGTAGGAAACACCAAAGTGGGGGGTTCTCAAAATGGGAAATCGATCCCCCAAAGTTGTTGGTTCTTCACGTGCCAACCAAAAGCTGGTCCACAATTTTGAGATACAGGTTTGTCTCCAGGTCCTTCGCGAATGGAATATGGGTGTGTGGGTGTGTGGGTGTGTGGGTGTCGGTGGGTGTCGGTGTGTGTGTGTGTGTCGGTGTGTGTGTGTGTGTGCGCGTGTGTGTGTGTGTGCGTGTGTGCGTGTGTGCGTGTGTGCGTGTGTGCGTGTG